AAATCTCTGATGTTACTAAGTTTTTGCCTAGCTTGGGTTTGGGTTCATCTCTCTTCTGGAAGAGACTCTCTGTGTATCAGTGTAACTGCCCTTTTCATCAAGTCCTCTGTGCTGAAGCAGACCAGGAAGCTATAATGCACACTGGAAGTATACACCTTTGCTCCATTTCCTAAGAGATGGAGGAGGTTCATGTTGATGGTTTTAGCCTTTAGCCCCTATTTGAATGCAATTGTGACCTGACTTATCTATTTCTTATTTGCACAAAGGCTACTAATTTGTCATCTGTCTTAATATTTGGCAGAATGATACATACATCACCAGCCTCAACTAGTCCATCGCTTACAAAGAAACAAACAAAAAGCTAAGTTCAGTTTGTAGGCTTTTACTCTATGTAGGCATGGTGTTAAAGCTATGCAGAGTGCAAAATCTGTTGCTCTGGCAAGGAAGATTAATCTTCTAACATTTGCCTTTCTGCAGAGGTCTGAGCATAGAAAATTTTGGGAGATGTTTTAAGTCTATATCACCACCTGGTTTTGCAGTAGCTGATATGACTGAGTCGAATATTTTATGGGTAGTTTCTATGCTGGTGCTGTTAAGGTCCGAACTATATCTCATGTCATGTCTCTTACTTAAGTTTAAGTAGCCATTCTAAGGCATCGTCTGAGATTCACAGTCTTTCCTTCTCCAAAGAAAAAAATCTTCCATCCTCACCAGTTTTTTTTTTTCTTACTTTTGGCACCCATCTTGAGATACCTGGCCTTCTAACAGTTCCCTTCACTTTCTTAGTGCACTTACCTAGGGAACTACTAAGAGAATGAAGCTGCTTGTGCTCAAAAACCTCCTTCCTAACTGAAGTCTTTGAAGCGGCAATTATCTTTTGAAAGTCTTTTACTGTACCATATATGTTCAAAAAAGTTCCATTTCTTAAAATGAAAAGTATGAAATTACTTTAGGGGAGTTTCAGAGAGGGCAAATTTATCTGTGGAGATGTATATTGAATATTTCTTTACGAAAGGATGTAAGTTTGAATTAAGATGATAAATACTATCAATTCCTGGTGTAATATTCATCCTATTCCGCACTACCACTCTGCTTTTTTAAGTTGCAAAAGCCTACCTTCATCAAAATTGCTTTAAGGGGTGTATGATGCAAATCTCACCATTAGATCCATGTGAGCAGTGGTTAGCAAAGGTAGAGTAACAGCAAGGATAGGAAATTGCAGCTGAAATACTCTTCCATTATGTGGGAGAAAGGGACTTCAGAAGAGCATCTGCAAGGAATATTTGGTTTTGCTGTAATGGCAGCTAGGAAATCAGCTCCTAAATGAAGTCTTGAAGAAAAGGTCTACTTGTTTAACGGCTATTCCACTGTGTAATGCTGCAGACTTTGGAGCTGCATGTACCCAAACTAATGCCCAATTTAAGAAGTTTCTACACAGGGAAGTTCAAAATAGACATTTTAATTCCAAAGTCAGCACACACTCTGTGAGCATTATCAGAACAAGAGATAGAAGGAAAGCAAGCAAATTAACAACAGTAATTGAACTAAAGAAATGTTAGAGAATTGATGAACGCCACACTAAGAGAGGAAAATCTCCATGAGTAGATTGAAAAGTAGAAGAGTAGAAGGGAAAACTGGAGAAAATAGACACCTTTTTTTTGATCAAAGAGGCTGCACATGTCAAATGAGACACTGGAAAAATAAGTTCTACTTATTACTACAGCAGAAAGAGAGGTAGAATTGTGATATCACTTGCTAGGAAGAATGAAGGGACATCAGACATGCACCATTTAATGCAAAAGCTCAGAGCAGCATGTAATTGGCATCCCATCTGATTTGTTAAATTTTAACAAAGTTTACAGAGAATTTCTGGAATTTCTGGAATTTCACTCTTAGGGTGAACTACAAAATTTCAAATACATTCTGTTGGGGCTGTACTGACTGTTTATCTCTGCCAGCTCTGCACAGCTATCACAGCTGTCAGAGGATAATCTGAATCCCCACGGTGACCCTATCTATATGCATTTGTTTTACTTGGATACAATGGCAACTATGTCTGTATGTATACCATCCATACTTTGTGAGTCTGTCATCCCAAGAGCTTCCAAGGAAAGAAGTACAATTCCACACTGGCTGTAGTAACAATAATTTGCTATTGCAACATCCTGCTCTATTTCAACCGCCTTGGCCATTCCTAGAATGAGTGCTCAGCAAGGTGCACATGTAGAGAGCAGCATTTACCAGTTTCTGTATAACCATGTTCAAGTTTAGCAAAAATTTTTAAAAGCTTTTTTTTTTCTCATTTCCCTGCTCGTATATTTAGTTTTGAGGTACAATCTATTCTTTTGGGAACTCTGTACAGATGTACATATACATGAATGGATTATCAGCAGACTTGCCAACCTACACCCATTGCACATCCAAACTTTACCTGTGCAACACTTCAGAAAAGACATAACAATAATAAAAGTATATCTGAGGAAAATTATGAAGACAATAAGGCTGCGAATATACAGGAGAACAACATTTCTGGCCTACTGAAGTGTCAATATTAGAGATTAGATAAGAAGAAAATTATCTGTTCACTTCTAAGGGGAAAAGAAGGTGAATTCTGTTTGGAAGTCACCAAGGGATAAAAACCTGGAGTCCAAGATGTTTTTTTTTTCAATAAAGTCACATTTTGAAGAAAACTATAATTTTTGGTACTTTCAATTATTGCCACTTTTCAAGGCAACGCTAGAAGAAATTCACTCTGTATCTTCCTCAGTAGCATTTATATTAACAAATTCTCAAATACTCAAGCGCAAAATTACCATGATAGTAAAAGAGAAGGGGTTCTTTTAATTTGCTTTGCTGCTTGGAGCATGCAGTGACCTGCAAAAGCTGGATAAAAGTCATTGCTTTATTCATTCACAAGAAGGCGTTAGAAACATCTGTTTGTTTCTACAGGACTGATAACTGCCTGGAGAAGTGCAAGTTGATGATTATTTCAGACGCTAAGAGTAAACAATGGTGCCTCTTGAGTGCCTTGTATACACTAACAAAAAATACAAAAGTTATCAGACTGCATAATATTCATGATAAAACTGCAGCAGATTTAAAACCGTATTCCAGAAGAATAACAGAATGAGTGGGGAATAGTTAATAGGATGAAGCCCAATGTACAGAGATATGAAGCATAAAGCCATGGTTAATGACTCATGATCTTTCGCTCTGCCTGCCCTATGAATGCTGCTTTTTTATTCCTCTTTTCTTGGTATAATTCAGGTATATTCCTCTCATCCAGAAGTGCATGATTTTGTTTACATATCTAGTCCTTGCCTTAAACACTCATTTGATGGTAAGTGGGCAGTTTGGTGAGGCTTGTATGTTCTTGTCGGTAACAGCAATGAAAGCTCCTATTCAGGTGTGAATCAAATAAAAATATTGCTCCGAAATATTATCTCTGTCCACTAAAAATATATAAGCAAATCTAATTCACTTTCCACATCTTTGTTTCAAGCACCTCAAGAGAAGAGGCTACGTTGAAACAGATACTTTCTTTTAGCATGTTTATTCCATCATCTGATATTCTCTGATCTCTAACATCTGCATCAGTGATTTGACATTGCAAAGTAAAAAATGTAGTGCTATTTCCTCAGCTGACTCACTTGCAGAATATTTCAAAGATGTCTAATAGATTGAGACGTTACTTCATTTTATGAATATGAAGCTCTGGAACTTATCTGCTGCTGCAAGTGACAACAGAAACTGTTCAAATGTTTCTTATACTAAAAAGGTTTCAAATTCAGAATCCTCAGATCCAATCTGCAACTGAAGGAAGGACACAGAGGTCAGTTCCACCTGTGCAGTTTACAGAAGTGACTGAAGTCTGCATGGACGGCTAGTAGAGCTGACAGATATGTGGATTTAATCTAGTAATAGTATGCCAAATTTTTCTACTCTTCCTCTAGTTAGGATGAGTTCTCTGATTATTCAGTTGATATCACTCTCTTGGCATTAGTACAATAAAGTGCTGATTTACACCATGAGGAGTTGCTGCAGTAGGAAGTCCTGCTTTCTATGAGATGTTACATTGCTTTGCCAATGTATTTGAAAATACAATTACTTGGTGCGAGGAATGACAACAGTATCAGTAACTGCACCATTGCCTTGATGGTGGCTGTAAAAAGCTTTTTTTTTTTTTCCTAGAAATCATCTTGTTTTCTTTGCTACTGTCCAAAAGACAGGAGCTTCCTTCTTCTGGCGCTGCCACATGATCCTCAATCGTGGAATGCATGCCATGCACGCTATGCATGTGAGTCATTCAGAGGACCTCAGCTTTGCTTACAGTGATGGAAATGAAGATGGCAGTACTCCAGCTTAATGCTTTTCTAACAGAAGCTGGCTCTTTCAATGGCTCTTCCAGAAAACATTTCAGTGCTATATGAAATGAACATCTGGAGATCTATGGCGAGAGGCTTGTCATACAGTGAGAAAATCCTTAATTCACTCATACTCCACTCATCACGTGGTGACAGAGTGAAAAGGGACTGTCTTGAATTTGACTGTAAGTTTGAGAACGGTCCCAGAGGAACGAGGGATGAGCAAGTCCATACACTGCCAACATTAACTGTAGGCAGTAGGCTTATGGATCTGCAAAATGCTTACTATGCAAGTAAGCTGAGGTCTTCTAAAAGCAGGAAGTGGATTTGATACTAAAGGACATAGGCAGCGGCTCTTTCTTTCCTTGGGCTTATGTAAGTGCACACATATGATAGGAGCCTCTGCTTAAAACAGTCACTCACCAAATCTCCTGCTAACTGTAGTGTTTCGCCAGAGATCCTTATTCAATTATTAATGTGTCTACTGCTAATTTTATCATGCAGAGTGTGAATTTGTCTTTCCACATTGAGTTCTAAGGGAAGTTTGTAAGAAATATAGTACTTGTCAGCACACAAGAGTCAACACATTACTGCTATGCTGCAGCCATTTATAATGAAACTAAAATGAGCACTCACTTGTTTGGCATTAATTTAATGTCCCACTTAGCTCCTATCAGACGTAAATAGCTGCTTCATCCATTTAAGCATTTCTGCTCCTGCACATAATGAAGTGCTCTGTACCTGTCAAGTAAGCAGAATTCATAACTGAAATAAGAAATGGATGAGGAAATTCAATATTCTCAATATTAAGCCTCCACAGGGGCAGTGCCAGATTTTTTCTGGTCACAGCTTCTGGCCATTACGAGGTTCACCTTTTATCCCACTCTGCAGAGAGCACACAAAGACACAACATGTATATGCATGTTAGTATGCCAAACACATTTCTAAAAAGGATTATCAGTTCAACTCATGGCACGGTTAACAACAGCTGCAGTTGTCAAACATACTAAAAACAAAATAAATTAGCTAGCCAACCTCTTGGTATTTAAATGTTTTTATACTCTCTATTTTAGAAAAACACAGTTTAATTTTAAATAGTATTCTAGTTGTGATCAGCCTCTCTTGAGGAAATGTTTTTATGAGAATGAATGGAGATAATGACTACCATTAGTCACTGTCATTAGCATAAAGCATTAGAAACTCTACAACACTTATAACAGGCTATGACATGACAATTAAAATATTACTTTCTATCACTTCTGTATGGTTTGGCTACAGCTGGTTGCTATTTTGTAAAGTTAAACTGATAGAAGTCTGGTAATGGTATATTTAATAGCATGTTCATTATCAGATCTAATTGTTTTCCACCACAGGGTATGAAGCTTTATGTCCTCTATCAACCCAAAACAAACAGCCATACTGCTTAATGGCTGTTCAATTAATGTTTATGGGGCTACTTTTATACTCTGAGTTATAAGACAAATAAACTCCAAGAAGCGGTTTAAAAACCTCAGAAACATAATGGGACTACCACCACTACAAAAAATTACTAAAATACCTGTAGAGTCCCATACTTGTAGATGTAAAATAGAAGACATTAGTCAGCATTAGACAGTTCTTCCAGGACGTTGGTGTAATTGCCAAAGGAAGGGAAACGAGACCTTCATGTAGCAAAACCCAGCTGAGCGTCTTCAGGTTAGCTGTCTTGCAATTGCTGTTCATGCCTGGGTTAAAACAGAGAAGACCTGGTCATCTTAAGTTACATAAAGGGCAGACTCTGTTCCTCAAATTGCAAAGTTATTCCTCTGAGAATAATTTGCCCTCAGTAACCTAGATGATCTCCACCTACTCATAACTCTTTCTGCTATTTAGAAGAGCTCATGCTAATTAAAAGGAAAGAGCAGTTCAAAGACAGGATTCTGTATTGCTGCCTTGGTGTGTATTAATTTGTCTCTCTCCCTTTTGAACAAAGCCTGTGGAGAGCAGCGTAAAATTACTGTAAATATGCTTTCACTGGAGAGCTGCCATTGTTCTAAATCAAGAAAGTAAATAATTTCTGGCTTGTGCTGTTAATTGTATATAGCAGTAATATATTCATTCGGAGCTTCCCATTTTAATTCAGACTCCCTGATCTCTGGCTTTTAATGATGAACTACAAGCCTGTAGTTCTCCGACACCTAGGCAATTAATCATTGACATTCCTTAGTCTCCCAAAATAGCTGGACACAATTAGACAAGAAAGAACCGTACTTGAGGGGTGCTGAAAATTTCTTTTCAGGAACTATTCATTTTTTCACACCATAAACTCTGCTTGACATTCATGGCTGCAAATGTATTTTAATAGAACTGCTGTTACTATGTCTCTCCTCCCATCCTCCCAGTAGTTTTAGTAGATCAACATGAGGTTCATAAACAGACAAAAATGCTCTGGGAAGTTTAAAGGCTGTCAAGTCTTCTTGACAACTTTCCTCTAAGAGTGCCGTTGAGAAATGACAAACGTATCACCTGACGGGCTGGTGTTTAAAGCTGACTGCTTTTGATTAGGAAGCAATGAGCCTTCCATTTTGGAGTTCATTTTGCGTTTCAGAAGAACCTCTTCACTGAAAATGATGCAGTTGAACTGATTTGAATTTGATTAGTTTAATTCTACAGTTTTATTATTTGTAGTAAATAAAAGCATTTTTTATAGCATTACTGCACATTTAGAAGCATTTTAGGATGGCGACAGACTTTTATTTCTCAAATATTATTACTTGACTTTTTTTTTTAAAATCCGGTTTGAACAAGGCTGTCTTGTGTTTCATTTACACTCTTGTTGTACATGACCCCAGATGCATACTCATGCTGTATTTCCTCTCTGCTCCAGGAGGAAGAGTAAGACAGCAATTCTTTTCTCAAGGAGAGAGTACTGTGTCCTCAACAGGTAGGCTGGCCTCAGAGCTAGCAAGAAAGTCAGTGTGAACCTTAACAGCTAACTTCTTTAATGGAAGAATCCTGCATTAAATTGTATGTTACAGACTTTGTGACTGATGCTTTCAGCAGCTAGTGCTATGGAAGAGCACAGCCACTACAGGGGAACGTATAAAACACTGAACTACTATTTCAGTGACATCTGACTTCATGAGAGGCAATTCAAATGCTCTGGGAAGCTGGATACACTTCTATCTTCTGATATCCTTTCAGTTTTATGTCCTCTTCTATTATTGCATAACAGCCATTGATCTGCACTGCAGGCTTCAGTAATAAAAAGCCATTTCATATCTGAAGAACACAACTTCTTTGGTTGGTCACTTTAGATACACAGAAGGAGAAGTGCATTTAATCAGGATCTAATGTTGAGTGGAGTCAGGTAGACTATAAAGGCCAGGTGTTCTGTCAATGAAGGTTCAAAATAATATAGGACTGAGGGAAGGGAGAATTCAGGACACAGACTAAAGGCTATATACAATCCTAAGTAAGCATTTATAAGCTCTGTATCAGTGCTCTTACTCACTTGGACTTACATGCTCAGGAAGGGTTTCAGATGAACTCACTGGTAAGATCTATGATTAACCAACAGCTTAATGTATTTACTAATAGCTTGGTCAGCACTGTCTTAAATCTAACAGGTTCAAGGTGAATGCTCCCCAGCTATTCACTCTTTCTACCTTTAGATTAAAGTATGTATTTATCCAAATTATCTTCTTACTTGCTTGCCTATTTCCATAGACCATCACTATATTGTATGCATATAGCAAAACATCCCAGCCATTAGGGATGCTTTGAGAAAAATAAAGTAGGTTCACTTCAGCCGCAATGTAAGCCATTAGTGAAATATGAAGATAATAGATATATTTTCAATACTTCTCTGGCTTTCATTAACACCAGCCAGCTGTCTCAAAATTGGTACATTATTAATTTCCATAACATCTATATGAAGGTGCAAGACAATATGTTCAAAAGGTAACGTTGTAAGGGTATTTAGATCCTTATTTGTGTGCCAGTGGTGACTCCTGATTTTTGACATCCTGAAGTGCAGGCTAGTGACAGGACAGCAGCAAGCTACTCAGCACTTTCGAAAACAGAGATATGTCTTTGATGCTCAGATATAGCTGGCAATTTTTAATTTCTGTTTCAAAAATGTTGATGATTATTGATAGAAGTGCCTTCTCCTAAGAAAATCTTATTCCTTCAATGAGCAAAAAAAAGCAAGCAAATCAACAACAAAACTACCAGAGGAAAATTTGGTTCTATTCAGTAGCATCCACTGTGATACAGTGTGAATAGCAACACTGTCCTCCTTCCATTTCCCATATACCAATTGGAAATAATTACATAATTAAAAAAATTAAAAAATTTTTAAAAAATTAAAAAAAATTAAAAAATTAAAAAAATTAAAAAACACAAGCAATGTGTAAGTATTTAGGTTGACAGATTTAGCAAATGTGAGATTTATGTTTTCCAATATAGTTTGATTCTGTCCCTTAGGTATATAGATGAGGACACAGCCTTTAATTATAGGACCTTTTCCTAATTTCTCTCCACAAGAGCTAACTTATTCAGGATATGAGTTTAAAGTAAATACTTAGGTCTGTCCCAAACACTAGTGGTATGACTCTGTTTTTTGTTTACTGTTTTCCATCCAGACTTTCACCGTACACAATTATCTACTTTCTCACAGATTTTCATTGTCTACTGTTACGAGTAACAATGTTATAGTAACTGAACCCTGTGAACACTAATAAGTGTATGTTCGCATCATCCTGGTGAAGGTACAAAGAGTTTTCTATTGGAAACAATACAACTGGACAACAAGTGGGACAACTGGGAAAATAAAGCAAAAACCCCCAGAATTTCCAACATTTGTTTTTAACATGGTTGTCTCAATGAGTTACCACATCCACATTCAAAAAGGAGATTATTTCTCAGAACACACTTGCCATTTTTAAAAGTATCATTGCTGTGTTCAATTTAGTGCAGAAATAGACAGTTTGATTATTTTATGTTACTTCTGTGAGAAAGGTGGTTAAATATTATCTTTCTTTACTACAGAAAGAGAATGTAAGAACTTAGATACATTATCAACCTGTCCTGTCTCAAAGTACTATGCATCACCGGTAGCTGTGTAAGAGCTCTCAAGCAGTGGCAAACCTAATTAGGTGGAACAGTTTAACATGACCCTCGCTTTTGCACACTGAGGTAAGCTGAATTATCTCACATTTGACATAGACCAAAAACATAGAGAGAGATACTGCAGCTCACCTGATATGCTGGAATGAGTCTGAGTCCTGACATGTCCTAGGCTACAGAGGGTGCTAACGGCAGGTCCTGGGCTGTGGAAAGCCCCAGCCTGAGGCTCAGTCCTTCACATCGCACCAATTTATTTCAAATGATGTTGAATACTCTCAGCTCCCGGAGCACCAGGCAAGGGGTACTGAACACTAGACATTCTCTAAGGAAGGGCCCCAAAATTCTGAAAATCAAGACAAAGTTGGGCACACATATTCAATAGGGAAAACAGAATTAGTTGCCATATAGTAATATTTTAAGTTAAATGGCTTGTGTAGTGTCACACAGCATTTTTGGGACAAAGGGTTAGTCTGTGTGACATTATTAACATAATCCGGTCTAAGAAAGGCTAATTAAAAAGAGCTCTTATTAAAATCAGTGCATCAAGAGGTAATTTGAATATTTAGGCAGAAGAGGAAGGGGTTCATTTAGATGCTGAAGTTAGTCTTCTCAGCTAGCCAATGGAGAGAAGAAGGTACACCTGGAGAGTGTTTTGGAGTACTAACCTTAGGTATTCTAAATTATTTTTCTCGAAGCAAGGAATACCCCATTGAAGGTACAGGTATCCTAGGCTTTTATCTGTGGTGGCAAAAGTTAGATGTTTGAAACCAGCTGATGAATGTTTTGAACTAGCTGACTCAAAAGCTCCCTGATCCCACAGTAATGTAACTCCACATTTAAAAAAAAAAAAAAAGATCAGTGAGGTTGCAGGGAGTGAGATGGGGGAATATTCTAGGACAGTTTCTAGCAGGTTCACTGAGTTGGTAACGGTCAACTTTTTCGATGGCTTATGACATATCCCAAAACGAATAGATTTTCATGACAGTGGCAAAAAGCTTTTCTGGGACCTTCAGGAGAATCCCTCTGCCAAATGCAAGTTGTTACAAATGGCAGGAACCCTCAACTTGTAAACTCTGTAAACCCTCCCATAAACCTGAAGACATTTTTGTTGGATGGAAAGTATTAGGTAGGTCTAAGTGTCAATCTTGCAAAAGCAGTGGTTTAAATAAGCCAAACGCTTAGAAGTTAAATAAACATGAATTACAGGTAAGTGAAACCTTAATTTAGTTCTTTTCATATTTTCATTTTGATGTAGTCTTTAAATGGTTGAGAACAGTTTTCTCCTTGATTTTTGTACACAAGAAACTACACTGGAAGAACAACTATTCAATATTTCTTTTATCCTAATTATTCAAAGTGTTTCTTTCTTTATTTTCTTAACTCTACCCAAATCCTTAATTTTTCGTGGCAGAATTACGAATCCCCTACTCATCTTTCTTTGGCTATAATACGAATACTTCAACAGTGTGACTAATTTTTATAATTGTATTTCAGAATTTAAAATAAAACATTAATGGCTGCTACATAATCCAGGATGCCCAAGGCTTGATTTTTAAAATACGTAACCTTATATAGCACTTTGTATATTCAAGCACAACTCCTAATGATAGCACTT